GCAAGGATATACATCATAACTAGCAACAAAAGATAGCGATATACATATACTACCTGTACTTAAAAATTATTTATTAACCTAAATAATCAACTTAATTTTCTAAAGCTACTAACAAAACACCCTGTATAAAAATTACACGTAAGTTTACACACATATAAATAAATAGATAGATGTACATATCAGATAACTATAAATATGCTAAAGAAATATGCATTAAATAAACATTAGATGAGGTACCGCGTTCTTCGCTTTTTGCAGAGAAAACATTGATATTAACAAAACCACGATTAATTTCTAGGAAACGATCTTATTCATTCCCGCAGCATCATTAGATCGTAAAAATGACATAAAACGCTATCGTACTATCACGATAAACATAAATCACTCGGCTATCATGGCGTTTATCGAACATGTTATCATTTGTTCCTGTACATGCCACATTCCATTTTGCAACAATGCAGTTAAATGTTAATAATCTACATGCCTACGGTGATCTTATGTTGAAATCGCAAAACTACTTTTCAACAAATCGTAACTACGTTAATATGTCATATGTTGTATTGATACATTTATTAATTATCGGTATGTATGAAGCTTCATTGCCTACCACAACTTAGACTTCTACGAAACTCGAACATTTTCATCTAATTATTAAATACAGTAGAATCCGCTTATAATGACATTGACGGGAAATGACAAACACGTCATACTAAGCGGGCTTCATACAAAGCATAGTCTTAGAAAATAAACAACTTTCTATTTTGGTTAATTATTTAGTTTAATAGAGAGAAAAACTACAAATTGTATATATTTATTAACATAATAAGAAAAAGAACGATGAATTGTAATATCAATATACATAAGAAGGGTCAGAAAAATGAGCGAAAATGTTATTATTAATTCAAACTTTCCTATAGAGAATTTAATATGAAAACCAAACTTAACATTGNAGTCTTAATAAACGATATGTCATTTTAATTTTATCCAAACCTTCCTATAGAGAATTTAATATGAAAACTAAACTTAACACTGCAATAACTTCATATTAGGCGATTGGTCAATATAGGCGGAGTCATAATAAACAAATTCCACTGTAGGTACACTGTATGTAAATAATTATTTTAAGTCTAACTATTGATTTTGTTAACAAATCAATCCACTGATTTAAGAAAAAAATGTCGGAAACTCGTCAGAATAATTATTAAAATAAATCTAAAATTTCTCAAATTTTTCTTTTAATTAATATTCACCTTTATTGGATGTGCAAAAGTATTGTGAGTATATTATTTCTAATAAAAGTATCAATCGCGTGTATTCGCGCTGTACAGATTTTAATGTTTGTAAGTAAATTGTATTAAATTTAATTGGTGTTTATCAGTAGTAATTTACCATCTTTACGACTCTATAAACCTATAGTTAATAATTACTCTAATGCGCATTAATCGCTTTCATTCATAAAGAATGATATTTATCGCTTCTTTGTTAATAAAATTAAAATCGCATTACCAACAACGCAGCGTTTCTTTAAAGATGTTAATAATTGATTTTATTTTTTTATTCCATTCTGCATATAATACACCTGTGTAAGTATATATGTATACCAAGTTAATATACTACGCAATAGAAAATATTCTGACGCAAACAAATATCTTTAACGTTAAATAAAACCAATTAATTATTTATATTGTTTTCAAAAGTTTTCTATTTCATACATTTACTTTACATGTATAAAAAATGTTAATGATGACATATTCCGAATCATTTTTCATGTTTAATTTCAATAACAAAAAGAAACCAATTTAAGGACTCCATTCAGATGTGTGCATTTTAACGATAAAAAGTTGAAAAATTTACATTTGTAATATTTTTAGATAGGCACTATAAACCATCTAGTAAAAAATTATCATATCAATAAATATCCACGAATTTTAAGAGCTAAAGTTCGTTTCACTTGAAAAGTACACATATAATTACTATTAATCAAATAATAACTGGCCGGTGCGTAAGCTGACCGCATGTTGTGTCATTTGCCAAAAAATAAAATACTGTAATAAGAAATAGATAAAATTAACTATTAATTTCAGTGTTTAGATTTATCAGATGTCAAAAAAAAAACTATATAAGTACAGTCAAATTCCGTAACTCAAACCTCCTAAATACAACCAGTTAAGTTCCAGTTAGGAAAATTTCTGCTTTACAGTACAAGTACTTCGTTCGTACTGTCTTTTCCTACCGTAACCTGACGATCTCAGCTTTTTTGTTTCTTTTAGTAAGTAATATTGAGCTCCCCAGTAAAAATTTATGTTCCTGCATTTTCCACAATAACTAAAAGCATTAACATCAAAGGAATTTTCTACCAGGTAAGTACTAAGACAAAATAAAATGTATGAAAAGATTTCACTTGTCTATACATTGAAAAGATCTACCCATAAATTACGTAAGGCAAAATTTGATTAATTTTTAACGTCCTCCCTCCCAAGTAACATAACCGCAATGCCTGGCTTGACCCTCCCCCTCCCCAATCCGTTACGTAACACATAGGTATAGTGTAGAACATTTAGGCTTGAATTCAAAGAGAGAAGATTTATTACGTAATTTCCAATAACAATTCATTTTCAAATAAATAATTAAAAATTATAATCAATATTAGAATATGATATCACGTTACTAAACAAGAGAAGTTCAATACCGACAGGCCAGTTTAATTATTAAAAAATAAATTTAGAAACCTCTCTGTTAGGAGATAACTGCGATATTATATATCCTTCAGTTTTTGCTGTTAGCATGTTAGTTCCACGCTATATTTAAGTGCAAATCCTTAGTTAGAGAAAAAATATATCAAAATATGTTTGAGGTGAATCACGAAAATGAGTTAACATTGTATCGAACAATTAAACTTCTATTACACGGATGTGGCTTCTTTGATTTATGTATTAACAAGCAATTACAGTGGCAAAGGGGCGAAGCCTAAATTTACCTCCCTTCTCATTTTTACAATTATGTAAGACCTTTTACCTTTTATAAGGTTGCGATCAATGTACACAAATTTTATACATTAATTATAAAGAATTGGAAGAAAAATTTGAAATAGGTAAAACGGATGAAGCTTATAATATAATTAAAAGAAATTTTAAAATAGAAAATGAGAAAAAGGCAGATAGGTGGAAAGAATATTTAGAGAATATATACGCAGGCCATGAGTTAGGAGATATATTTCAGAAGGAAGATAGTGTGGAGCTAGATAAGCTAGGTTATCTCATAATGAGGGAAGAGTTCGATGTAGCATTAAAAAACTAAACAATAATAAGACACTAGGTGCAGATGGAATACAGGCGGAAATTCTAAAATATACAGGACAAGAGATTAGAGGGCGTATATTTAAGCTAGTTAATCACATTTACGAAAGGGAAAAGTCCCCTCATTTACTAGACGGGGAAAGTCCCAGGGGATTATAAACGGAACGTGGTAGTAATCATACCTAAAAAGAGAGGTGCAGATAGGTGCGAGACATTTGGAACAATTACCTTAACTTCCCATGAGTCAAACTAAAATGTACAGAGGTGGATGGGAAAAAAGGCGGCAGAACTATTAAAGGAAGATCAATTTGGGTTTAGAAGAAATAGAGGATCGCGGGAGGTAATTCTAGCTTTACGGGTAACAATAAAGAAAACGATAAAAAAAAGGAAATAGTGCGTACATAGGATTTGTAGATATAGAAAAAGTTTTTGACAATGTTAAAGGGCAATATGTTAAATATACTTAAAAATGTAGGGATGAGTTACAGAGATATAAGTGTGATACTTAGATTGTATAAAGGGCAACAGGCAGTTATAGAGCCTGGAGCTCCAACGTAAAGAAATAAACATTAGGAAGGAAGTCAGACAGGGATGAATCCTGTCACCGCTACTTTTTAATATACACATCGAAGATGCGATCAACATCATTAAAGAAAGTACAACTGTAGGGATAAATATATAGACGCAAAAGATTAGTATCCTTAGATATGCAGATGATATAGCAATATTAGCATCCAGTAGGGAGGTATTGATAAAACAGTATTATATGGAAATAAATAAAAATAAAACTAAAATACTGGTATGCAAGGGAAGAAAAAGTAGGTAAATATAAAGGAATATAAAGATAGGAGACGGAAAATTAGAAGAAGTGGCTGATTTTAGATACCTAGGAAGTCAGATAAGTCAGGATGGAAGGAGTAGTAGGGATATAAAGCAGAGGATAGCGCAGGGTCACTTCCATGCTCGTATGTTTGGAGCACGGCGCTGTACGGGTGCGAAACATGGACGGTGGGCGCAACGGAAAAGAAGAGGTTAGAACTGTTCGAAATGTGGTATTACAAGAGAATGATGAGGATACCGTGGTTAGAGTAGGTGAAGAGGTATTAGAAAGAATGGGAGAAGAGAGGACTGTATGGAAGTCAATAAGAAACAGGCGATAGATTGGTAGAACACCTTCTCAGGCAAGTTTTATTCAGAGACATATTAGGAGCAGAAACAGGAGTTAAGAGTAGAAGTAGGCCTAAATTAGGTTACTGTTTATGAATAGTTAAGGATGTGGGATGTTCTAGTTTAGGGGATAAGCAAAAATTAGCTCAATATAAGAAGGAGTGAAGGTGCGTATCCAACCAGTCCTAGGACTGACGACCTTATGATGATGCAAAGAAAAGATATTTACTGCGCTGCGCTATCTAAATACAAAGTTTTCCGTTTTATGGAATTCAATTAAAACGAAAGGCAAAAAAAACTTTTAGCTATCGTGTTAAAATATAAAAATATACTTTGGTACTCATTTCTTAACAAAAACGGAAGACAGTAACCATCATGAAGAAATTTTAAATTTGCAGTTTTATAGACAAAACCTTACACATTGCGACATCTTGTAATTAACAGAAGAAGTTTTTGTGCAACTAACCGTTTCAGTGTTGAATGAATGTGCTAGGAACCTTTAAATTTCTAGCTTCTCAAACGTCATATAGTTGTCAATAACAGCTGTTATGTCAAAAGTTTTGTTTGGGTGTTCTATAATCAGTTTATAAAGGAAAAGTGATGAAATTTATATTTGACTAAAATAACGATGGAATGTTAATGGAGTATTGCGCATCTTTTAGATTTTATAAAATTTAAGTATTTAGAAATGCAGTGAAAAACAATGAGAATTTCAAAATCAACATTAATTTTAATTGTCTCAATGATCATATTATCAATCATTTTTGCTAGTGTTATAAATATTATCAGTACAGAAAAATCAGATGTTAGATTACACACTCAGGATATACCTTTCACAATTGGAGAATCTGATGACCATTTGATCTGGTTTCTACAGGTAACATTCTATAAATTTAAGTACAAGTTCTTTATATTAGTCAGGTTTAGTGAATTTTTAGTTTAACTTTTACCTATTACAATTCTTCTGGCCTTAAATTTTAATAATTAATCATTTGTAACAGATTTCAGATATTCATATAAGCATATTCCAAGACCCTTTGAGAATTACCGAGTTTAAGGAATTTTGCCATTACACAGTGAATGCTATAAAACCTAGTGTTGTTCTAGCTTCTGGTGACTTAACTGATGCTAAAACTAGTGATAGTATAGGTTCACAACAGTTTGAGAATGAATGGAAGCGTTATTGGAACACATTAGCTGAAACAGAAGTTTCTAAAAGGACAATGTGGTTAGATGTTAGAGGAAATCATGGTATGTAATTATGAAATATAATATTAAAATTNTTCTCTTGTATAATATTTTTATTGTTTTATTGTTTCTCTTGTATAATTGTGTTTACAAGTTCTTTACGTGCCTTTTAGGAAATGGAAACTACGACTAATAACTCGAATTTATATTTTAGTCTAACTGAAATTTACTCGTTTACTTTTTAGACTATTAAGAACTAAAGTGCATTTTAAAATCTGAAAGTTTTGTGTCTTATATTATTGAAACTATAAAAGATCATCATTTATAATACATTTTGTAAATTTAAATGCAAAACACTTCAGTATATTTAATGCACGGTTCTCAGGTACGAGGACTAAAAAAAATATAAAACTATTAAATTTGGCTACAGATTTAAGTACGAAATGCACTTTAGCAAGCCAAAGAACTTTATACAAAAATCCGTAGTACTGAATAATTTAAGGTGGAGTACTACAAGTTTCTTAGCCCCCTGATATTATAATTTTTGTTTGAGGTGGAAACACAAAGACTGCATTTATTATCTAAATCGCAATATATAAAGGTCTCAACATTTCAGGTTTCAACTGATCACTACCGTGCCAAAATCTTTAAAACAACTTACGTTTTTTCAATTTAATTTTCATAAAATGAAAAGTTGAATGTTCATTCTACAGGGTTATTTATTTGTAAAAGACTGAAATGGAAATGTATTCCACTTTAAATTTAGAGAAAAGAACAGTATTTTGACTTAATAATAATACTCTCATTGCCAGTATCCTAATCAACACTTTTGCAGTGTACTTTTGCAATATGCAATGCAAAAGCTGAAGGAGCATTCCTACTTGTTGATATTTTTACAAGCGGATATATTGACCCATTATGCTTTGGTTAATAGTTTCATAATCATTTTGTTGGGTAATAAAAAATCGTTTGTTTATTTATTAATAATTTAAAAATTGTTATTTTCGATAAATGCGAGATAAATTAGACGAATTTCAAGTTCTAGTTTTTCTAATCTCTACAAATAAAAACAGAAATTCTTTGTAGGGTATTAGCGTTTTCTTTGTCTGACATAACGTCAGTTAAAGTAAAGATTGACAACGATAATTGGAAAAGTTGTAACCATAAAACAGGACCTTTATATGTAACTGAGTGGAATCCTAGCTTATATAATCAGGGTATTCACTACATAGAGGTATAAATAAGAACTATTAAAAGTGTAATTTGACATTAAACAGTTTTAATTTCACAGGTATTTGTTCAAGATTCTATGGGACGCGAACAGATATATTCTCAACCATTTTCTTTAGATGGGAGCCGACTGTCCTTTCAAATTCTCCCTAGAATTGCTTTAATGACTAGCGCAAGCATGGTGGTAAGTCATAATCATTCTTAAAGTTTGTCTTAAAAGTCAAAAATAACGTAGAAACAGAACTAGATGTATTAATACAGCAGACCCTCGATAGTGTGAACCGATGAAGTACATAGTTGTTTAGAGTATTGATTTATTCATTCTAACGTATGCTATATTTGATTTGTTGCAAACATCTATAATTCGTAAATTAATTATTTTTGCTTTCTGCTTATTAACATTAACAATACTATTTTTATTTTGTTGGTCAAGAAACCACTTATACCTGCAACCGTCCTAAATGTGTATGTATTTGTCACAGCTTTAGAGTTTAGTTCTCTTTTTTGTTTTATCGTATATTTAAGGACAATGAATGTTCGTTTTTATAAGTGTAGGTTTACTTCACGGTATACGATGCCGTAGCCTATTTAATACGTTGTTCACATTATGCGGAGTTTCCGTATAATGCTTACGCTATAGAGTATCTTTCATATTTACACTTTTTGATGGTAATTATCTTTTCAAATTTTAGTTTAAAATCTCTTTTGTGATTTTCCTTGGATTTGTAACACTTCCCCTAATTGTGATGAGGTATATGAACCGACTAGTATTAGGTAAGCCAAATTCATGTGTTGTAATAACGTCGATTACTAATAAAATTGTTTTCCTTTCAAGCTGGAAAAATGAGTAAACCTATAATAAGACGTGGCTGTCTGCAAATATGGATTAGAAAATTGTGGATATTGTCCACAGTTGACCGATTATTTTATCCTCTTATTTGCTATTGCATTTATCTGCCAGTTGGTCCGTGGTCAGTTGGGTATCTAGTCGAAGATCATTTAGGGGCCATATTTGCATGGGGAATTTTAGTGAATGGTAACTTCTTACCAGGATCGTTTACTTATGCATATGGTTTTGTTCAGGTAAAAACAAAACTTATATTCTGAACAAAGGAGAGTGGGACAACTAAGAACAACAGATAATTGTTAAAATAAGTTATAACGTTTTTATCTCAAATGATATAAACGTATTTTTTTAAACGTACTGTTAGTACTAACATACTATAACTTAAGTCTACTTTATCATTTCTATTTTACAGCTAGCTACATTCCAGTTTCCACTAATACTTATATTAGCCAATGGTGTTGATAACAGGTGAGTGATTTATTAAGTATATATGTTTAAGTCTCATGATAAGTAACTATAATTTATTTTAAAGGTTGCGCAATTTAATATTAAGGCCTGGAAAAACCAAAACAATCTGGGATTTGATAGGGTTGCATTTGCCCTTTGTTATGCTATTGAGCATTCAACTTCTGATGGCGTATTTCTTTCTATTAGCCTATGGTTACTTGGCATTCTTTTTGGGACCATTGAGAACATGGTCAATAGTGTTAGCGCTGGTTTTGTGGTGCCAGACTTTACAACTACCAGAAAAGTGCACAAGGTAAATATGCCTACCTCTTATCATTGATTCCATTGCACCTTTTCATCTCCTACCCTTTCTAATGCTCTTACCATCCATGCTTCGAACCCGAACAGAGCCATACACTTAACAATTTTTTTGTCGAATTTCTGAATTACTCATTCATTTGTTTCTGTTTATTTTTATTCCAATTTAAAATAATTTTAATTACTTAATATTATTGTTGCAGGGATGCAGCTAACGTGTGGTTTACTACAGCCGAATCTGAGTTGAGTCAAACAAGCTTAAACGATTATACCGAACCAGCTTCTTAAACGGTAGAATCTATACATATTTTTTAGTAAAATGTAGATTTGTATTATTTCTCTTGTATAATATTTTTATTGTTTTATTGTTTCTCTTGTATAATTGTGTTTACAAGTTCTTTACGTGCCTTTTAGGAAATGGAAACTACGACTAATAACTCGAATTTATATTTTAGTCTAACTGAAATTTACTCGTTTACTTTTTAGACTATTAAGAACTAAAGTGCATTTTAAAATCTGAAAGTTTTGTGTCTTATATTATTGAAACTATAAAAGATCATCATTTATAATACATTTTGTAAATTTAAATGCAAAACACTTCAGTATATTTAATGCACGGTTCTCAGGTACGAGGACTAAAAAAAATATAAAACTATTAAATTTGGCTACAGATTTAAGTACGAAATGCACTTTAGCAAGCCAAAGAACTTTATACAAAAATCCGTAGTACTGAATAATTTAAGGTGGAGTACTACAAGTTTCTTAGCCCCCTGATATTATAATTTTTGTTTGAGGTGGAAACACAAAGACTGCATTTATTATCTAAATCGCAATATATAAAGGTCTCAACATTTCAGGTTTCAACTGATCACTACCGTGCCAAAATCTTTAAAACAACTTACGTTTTTTCAATTTAATTTTCATAAAATGAAAAGTTGAATGTTCATTCTACAGGGTTATTTATTTGTAAAAGACTGAAATGGAAATGTATTCCACTTTAAATTTAGAGAAAAGAACAGTATTTTGACTTAATAATAATACTCTCATTGCCAGTATCCTAATCAACACTTTTGCAGTGTACTTTTGCAATATGCAATGCAAAAGCTGAAGGAGCATTCCTACTTGTTGATATTTTTACAAGCGGATATATTGACCCATTATGCTTTGGTTAATAGTTTCATAATCATTTTGTTGGGTAATAAAAAATCGTTTGTTTATTTATTAATAATTTAAAAATTGTTATTTTCGAAAATTTATGGCTATAATTATTTATTATGGAGTTTATATTAAGATTAAAAGCCCAGGAAATTACTTCTCGCTAAAAAATATCGACAATTATCTCATGATTGCCGATTATATTCCTGCTAATATATTAATTATAAAACTGATTTTTAATATTTCTAGCTTGATAAAGTAAAACACTGACTTACTGCTTTTTCAAGCATAAGTAAAAGATGTCCTAAATAGTTTTATCCTAAAGTAAGACATTCCATCAGTATTAAAGGTACAGGTTATGGCACCGTCGTAGAAAGGGATGGGGAAAGGAACGAAAGAGGTGGAAATGGTCATCTGCAACACTAAAAAAGTGTTTGTAGGTGGAAGCGGAGACGGTGGAAGTGAAAAATCGAAAAGAAACTGACGTAACCTAAGCTAATCTGATGTACAAAAGTTTTTGTAGTAATTTTCATCTTTATTTGTAAGAATTTTTACTGAGTATCTACGTATGTTAGATTGGGTTAGATTAAATTACGTTAGTTTCTTTTCCAATATTCAATTTTTCATCTCCATCCCTCCTCGCTCCACTTACAATCACTTTTTAGTATTGTAGGTCATCCTGATCCCTTTCACCCTTTTACCATCCTCCAGTTAACGCGACACTCACATCATCTGCACATTTACTGGATTAAAAAATAAATTACGAAGAAAGGTACCTACTTAAACATAAAAATGATTAATGAGTAAACATATAAACTATTGGACTATTAACGCTCAAAAGTTACAAACAAACTTGGTAAGAGTAATTCCGTTGTGGTGTCACTATCATATTTGATAACAAAACTTTTCATGTTAGTAATTCTGACTCAGTTGTTATAAAACGTACTCTTCATGTTTTAACGAAATACAGCTAGCACTAAATGTAGAAAAAACTACTGATTCACCTACATGACTAATTTTGTAGCCTGTTACAACAAATGAGCAAATTTTGTGGTCTCCTAGATATGAATGATCATAATCTTTTAACTTTTCATACATAAACGCCTTCGTACATCAATTAAAAACAATAGATAAACTTATATTAATTAGTACTGTATTTTGTTGAATAGCAATCTCTACTACGCTTAAAACACCTTTTTGCTAGGGTCAAAGAGGAACTTTACAATTGGTAACATTCTGTCTAATTGAGATGTATTAAAATTACTCAAAACTGATTTTATAACATTTAATATATAGAATGTATAGAACTTCCTTGGGCTCTAAAGTAAAGAATTGTAGAATATAAACCAAAGATCATCATACACGTCTTTTAATGTGATTCAATGTGATTAATTATATGTACCTATTCGTATATATGCAACTAATGTAGCAAACTATTTTACTTATGTTTTACAAAAATTACGCATAAATAAACGTTAATCTAGTTGATCAAATAGTTGTTTTAATTAGTTTATATTATTAGAGGAAAAATGGATATATATATATATATATCAGTCCAAAAATCCTAATTTACCTTATTTTGATAAGATCACTGTAATATTTGTTTATTTCGACGAGGATTAAGAAAGTTTTGCAAACGAGTTCTAGAAAATTAACCCCAATTGTGTGATTTACCAGTCTAAAATCTTTATTTTTATATCACTAACTTAAATATCTCGCAGTTATTCACCTCACCCCACTACACCAATAATAGATTGAATTTCTAAAGCTGTGAAATAGATAATTGTTTATTTTTATTTGAGGCCCTCTTATTTGAAATATTGAAATATTGCGAAATTCCCATTAGGGTTGGATTGGCACAAGGCCCTTTATAGCCGTTACTTACAAAATAGCCACTCTTTCCCACAAAACTATGTATAAACATATGTTTTTTAATGTAGCCTAGTTAAGAAAGCCTCACTACTTTTGTGTGAGTGTTGTCCCCAACCTATTTTCTAAATTCAAGTTTTCCTTTATGTTACTTATATTCTCATCTCATTTTCTATATTATTTTCATATTTTGGTCACATAAATTCATTTATTACTTCCTTTTCCTTACTTCAATAAAACTGTACCAGTTGCTCGAGTCGAGGCCCCATGATACTTTTTTCCAGCGAAAATAGCACATAAAAAAACTGAAACCGTTTTTAACCCGGGAATGGCTAAAAATTTTTTAAAAAGTACTTTTAATAAATTATCTAAAGTATCATATTTAGCTTCTCTAACAGGGGCATTCTGCGTTATCTGATTGTTAAATTGTTTAATATTGTTTTGAGGTTTGTACATATAACATATATATAAGTCAGATAAACTATGCTAAATATGAAGTCATAAAATAATTAATATGGCGGTCACTAGCAGCCATTATGTCACAAATTAAAAAAGAAGTGCCAGTTGTAATGGATGAATCAAATTAAATTATTTAAAATAGAAGGTTTTTGAATTGGATACCTGATATAGTTTAAAATAAAAGTGCAATGCACTTTGATTTAATTTATTTGCACTTCAATTTAATTAATTAGTTAGTTTCCTACCAAAATATTGAACATCAGTTACATATGGAAATTTAATACTGATGTGACTCATTATTAAAATTGAATAGGAGGTACCATTTCAAAAAGTGAAAAGCTTTCTACGTTCTAATTTACACATAACATATGAAATACCCATTATATACAAGCCCTTCAAGCCGGTATAACGTTAACATTTAACAGCTTTCACTTAAACGTTTTATGACAAGTATATTTCCGCTCTCATGCATGCACCAAAAGCACTTGATTCCTGATTAGGTACAGGTACGAGTGGGTGTGTAAATACGCACTTAGTGCGTATACATACGATAAGAAAACATTCACGCATAGAAGAAATTGGTAGGTGCCATAGTTCAAAGTACGTGCATGACCAAATCTCATCAGTCAACAAGAAGAAGGCCTAAACTGAAACGTAATTTCACCTGTGACACTGTTTATGAGAAAAAAATAGAAAGTTGCTTTACGTCTGGTAGATAATGGGAACCTTAAGTACATGCACTAAACGCATTATTGACCCTCAAAGTAGGTCAACTAAATCACAAACAGTAAAGATAAACAGGGGATAAAACTAAGTCAATAAAATTTGAAATACTGTATACTTATTTACTTATACAGGTAAAGCAAAACGTTCACCAAACATAGATATTACACATTTTTTTGTGGGCATTTTTTTCTATCGACACATGTAATAAATAAATATCACCCTAACTAACGTCCCAAACGACATCAACTGCTTTTGAATAGTTTTGAAATTCTAATTCTTGGTTGACGAATTTTCAAGGAGAGGGTTTAGTTGAAACGAGCCTGCAATATTAATAAACACTAAAAGTCTGCAAAGTGACAAAGTCATAGTTAGTTATAAGTTATCGTTAATCAAAACCTCCTACACCTACTAGCGACAGAAATTTTAAATGTTACTGGTAGTGGATCCAAACCGAGTACTTGGCCTATTTTTAGTTCGTATATACTGCTAAAACTTNGTTCATACATGTACCAAATAGGAAAAGGAAAAGATTTGTATTCTTTCATGGCTATAGACGCTTGTCTGGAACCCGGTCCAAGAAGACCATTTAATTTCGTCGGAATTTTAAGCAAAGATGAAACTGACAATATAAAAAATTTAGTAAAAAGAATTGAAGAAACCAATTCTAATTATACAATTTGGTTTGGACATTTTCCTACTTCTTGTATGCTTGCACCTACTAGCGGAGGTTCTAGGCATCTAATTGGATCTCAAAAACAGGCTTTAGTTTACCTGTGTGGCCATTTACATCAATTGGGAGGATTGGTACCGAAAATGTACACTCTACAAAAAGAAGGATTTTTAGAACTTGAATTAGGAGATTGGAAAGATAATCGAATGTACGTCTTCGAAAAGTTCTTTTTGTTAATAGACATAATGACTTTAATGCTGAAATTTACGTTTGATTTTCAGGTATCGTTTAGCAGCTATTGACCATGGAATATTCTCATTTGTAGATGTGAAGCATAGACAGTGGCCTATAGCTTTAATTACAAACCCAAAACATGCATTATTTGTGATCCCAGAAAGGGAAAACGTTTTTTTAATGAAGAAATCTACACATATTAGGTACTATTAATTATAAATGATTTACTTATTTCAATAAATGCGAGATAAATTAGACGAATTTCAAGTTCTAGTTTTTCTAATCGCTACAAATAAAAACAGAAATTCTTTGTAGGGTATTAGCGTTTTCTTTGTCTGACATAACGTCAGTTAAAGTAAAGATTGACAACGATAATTGGAAAAGTTGTAACCATAAAACAGGACCTTTATATGTAACTGAGTGGAATCCTAGCTTATATAATCAGGGTATTCACTACATAGAGGTATAAATAAGAACTATTAAAAGTGTAATTTGACATTAAACAGTTTTAATTTCACAGGTATTTGTTCAAGATTCTATGGGACGCGAACAGATATATTCTCAACCATTTTCTTTAGATGGGAGCCGACTGTCCTTTCAAATTCTCCCTAGAATTGCTTTAATGACTAGCGCAAGCATGGTGGTAAGTCATAATCATTCTTAAAGTTTGTCTTAAAAGTCAAAAATAACGTAGAAACAGAACTAGATGTATTAATACAGCAGACCCTCGATAGTGTGAACCGATGAAGTACATAGTTGTTTAGAGTATTGATTTATTCATTCTAACGTATGCTATATTTGATTTGTTGCAAACATCTATAATTCGTAAATTAATTAATTTTGCTTTCTGCTTATTAACATTAACAATACTATTTTTATTTTGTTGGTCAAGAAACCACTTATACCTGCAACCGTCCTAAATGTGTATGTATTTGTCACAGCTTTAGAGTTTAGTTCTCTTTTTTGTTTTATCGTATATTTAAGGACAATGAATGTTCGTTTTTATAAGTGTAGGTTTACTTCACGGTATACGATGCCGTAGCCTATTTAATACGTTGTTCACATTATGCGGAGTTTCCGTATAATGCTTACGCTATAGAGTATCTTTCATATTTACACTTTTTGATGGTAATTATCTTTTCAAATTTTAGTTTAAAATCTCTTTTGTGATTTTCCTTGGATTTGTAACACTTCCCCTAATTGTGATGAGGTATATGAACCGACTAGTATTAGGTAAGCCAAATTCATGTGTTGTAATAACGTCGATTACTAATAAAATTGTTTTCCTTTCAAGCTGGAAAAATGAGTAAACCTATAATAAGACGTGGCTGTCTGCAAATATGGATTAGAAAATTGTGGATATTGTCCACAGTTGACCGATTATTTTATCCTCTTATTTGCTATTGCATTTATCTGCCAGTTGGTCCGTGGTCAGTTGGGTATCTAGTCGAAGATCATTTAGGGGCCATATTTGCATGGGGAATTTTAGTGAATGGTAACTTCTTACCAGGATCGTTTACTTATGCATATGGTTTTGTTCAGGTAAAAACAAAACTTATATTCTGAACAAAGGAGAGTGGGACAACTAAGAACAACAGATAATTGTTAAAATAAGTTATAACGTTTTTATCTCAAATGATATAAACGTATTTTTTTAAACGTACTGTTAGTACTAACATACTATAACTTAAGTCTACTTTATCATTTCTATTTTACAGCTAGCTACATTCCAGTTTCCACTAATACTTATATTAGCCAATGGTGTTGATAACAGGTGAGTGATTTATTAAGTATATATGTTTAAGTCTCATGATAAGTAACTATAATTTATTTTAAAGGTTGCGCAATTTAATATTAAGGCCTGGAAAAACCAAAACAATCTGGGATTTGATAGGGTTGCATTTGCCCTTTGTTATGCTATTGAGCATTCAACTTCTGATGGCGTATTTCTTTCTATTAGCCTATGGTTACTTGGCATTCTTTTTGGGACCATTGAGAACATGGTCAATAGTGTTAGCGCTGGTTTTGTGGTGCCAGACTTTACAACTACCAGAAAAGTGCACAAGGTAAATATGCCTACCTCTTATCATTGATTCCATTGCACCTTTTCATCTCCTACCCTTTCTAATGCTCTTACCATCCATGCTTCGAACCCGAACAGAGCCATACACTTAACAATTTTTTTGTCGAATTTCTGAATTACTCATTCATTTGTTTCTGTTTATTTTTATTCCAATTTAAAATAATTTTAATTACTTAATATTATTGTTGCAGGGATGCAGCTAACGTGTGGTTTACTACAGCCGAATCTGAGTTGAGTCAAACAAGCTTAAACGATTATACCGAACCAGCTTCTTAAACGGTAGAATCTATACATATTTTTTAGTAAAATGTAGATTTGTATTATTTCTCTTGTATAATATTTTTATTGTTTTATTGTTTCTCTTGTATAATTGTGTTTACAAGTTCTTTACGTGCCTTTTAGGAAATGGAAACTACGACTAATAACTCGAATTTATATTTTAGTCTAACTGAAATTTACTCGTTTACTTTTTAGACTATTAAGAACTAAAGTGCATTTTAAAATCTGAAAGTTTTGTGTCTTATATTATTGAAACTATAAAAGATCATCATTTATAATACATTTTGTAAATTTAAATGCAAAACACTTCAGTATATTTAATGCACGGTTCTCAGGTACGAGGACTAAAAAAAATATAAAACTATTAAATTTGGCTACAGATTTAAGTACGAAATGCACTTTAGCAAGCCAAAGAACTTTATACAAAAATCCGTAGTACTGAATAATTTAAGGTGGAGTACTACAAGTTTCTTAGCCCCCTGATATTATAATTTTTGTTTGAGGTGGAAACACAAAGACTGCATTTATTATCTAAATCGCAATATATAAAGGTCTCAACATTTCAGGTTTCAACTGATCACTACCGTGCCAAAATCTTTAAAACAACTTACGTTTTTTCAATTTAATTTTCATAAAATGAAAAGTTGAATGTTCATTCTACAGGGTTATTTATTTGTAAAAGACTGAAATGGAAATGTATTCCACTTTAAATTTAGAGAAAAGAACAGTATTTTGACTTAATAATAATACTCTCATTGCCAGTATCCTAATCAACACTTTTGCAGTGTACTTTTGCAATATGCAATGCAAAAGCTGAAGGAGCATTCCTACTTGTTGATATTTTTACAAGCGGATATATTGACCCATTATGCTTTGGTTAATAGTTTCATAATCATTTTGTTGGGTAATAAAAAATCGTTTGTTTATTTATTAATAATTTAAAAATTGTTATTTTCGAAAATTTATGGCTATAATTATTTATTATGGAGTTTATATTAAGATTAAAAG